ATAAAAAAATAATTTTTTATATATTTTTAAAGAAAAAAAGAAAGTAACAAATAGAAAAAGATAAAATATTTAAATGTGTTAAAAAAATAATTTTCATTAAAAAAGACTAAAATAAAATAAAATTTGACAGAAATATTTAAATGAGTTCTCGACCTGATGTACTTTCATACAGTGTGATTAATAACGACAAGATGGAATATTTTTATATTTATTTTATATACTGTATAAAGATAAAATGATTATAAAAAAATAATTTTTTATATATTTTTAAAGAAAAAAAGAAAGTAACAAATAGAAAAAGATAAAATATTTAAATGTGTTAAAAAAATAATTTTCATTAAAAAAGACTAAAATAAAATAAAATTTGACAGAAATATTTAAATGAGTTCTCGACCTGATGTACTTTCATACAGTGTGATTAATAACGACAAGATGGAATATTTTTATATTTATTTTATATACTGTATAAAGATAAAATGATTATAAAAAAATAATTTTTTATATATTTTTAAAGAAAAAAAGAAAGTAACAAATAGAAAAAGATAAAATATTTAAATGTGTTAAAAAAATAATTTTCATTAAAAAAGACTAAAATAAAATAAAATTTGACAGAAATATTTAAATGAGTTCTCGACCTGATGTACTTTCATACAGTGTGATTAATAACGACAAGATGGAATATTTTTATATTTATTTTATATACTGTATAAAGATAAAATGATTATAAAAAAATAATTTTTTATATATTTTTAAAGAAAAAAAGAAAGTAACAAATAGAAAAAGATAAAATATTTAAATGTGTTAAAAAAATAATTTTCATTAAAAAAGACTAAAATAAAATAAAATTTGACAGAAATATTTAAATGAGTTCTCGACCTGATGTACTTTCATACAGTGTGATTAATAACGACAAGATGGAATATTTTTATATTTATTTTATATACTGTATAAAGATAAAATGATTATAAAAAAATAATTTTTTATATATTTTTAAAGAAAAAAAGAAAGTAACAAATAGAAAAAGATAAAATATTTAAATGTGTTAAAAAAATAATTTTCATTAAAAAAGACTAAAATAAAATAAAATTTGACAGAAATATTTAAATGAGTTCTCGACCTGATGTACTTTCATACAGTGTGATTAATAACGACAAGATGGAATATTTTTATATTTATTTTATATACTGTATAAAGATAAAATGATTATAAAAAAAGTCATATTTTATATATTTTAGGAAATAAAAAAATGAAAAGTAATAAAGGATAATGTAAAATAAATATAAAAATTTTGTGTATATCAAATATTATTATTCTTAATTTTATGTTTAGTTACATTGAATAATAATAACACACATGAGAACAAGTTTATCCTCAATGGTCTCGAAATCTTTACATAAAATCTCTCTTCTTTTATTCATCGTTGGATTTTATTTTCTCCTATCACAAATAATCCATTATTGTCGAGGATGGTACTTAATAAATTTCTTTGTGAAAAATATTATATTAATATTTTTTTCAATTAAATTAATATACCAATATATAAAAATAGAATTGTCTTTACTTTTTTTAGTGTCTTGCAATTTTAATTATTTTCTAAAATTCATGAATATAATAATTGAATCCATTAAAATGAAAATTGTAAAAGCTTAATCATAAAAATATTGACAATTCTAACAAGTTATAGAATTCTCACATAACTTTTTAAAATTTGATAGACTTGTTTACGCAACCTTAGTATTATAAAACAACATAACTAGTAAACTCTTTAGTTTATATAACATACGGTATTTATTCAATTCTAAAAATGCATCTTAATTTTTTTTTAAGTAAATGGAGAAAAATAAAAATATGAACAACAAAGTAAAATTAAATTACATATCAAAATGTATAAATTGAATCTAAATTTTAGATTTCGTAGATTTAAATAATAAATAAAATTTTGACATAATTTCGTTTCATAACTTAAGCTTAAGTTCAAGCTTTCAACTAAAATTCATCACATGCCAATGTTCAAGTTTTTACTTAGAGAAATATTCATATTTAGTATTTATCCTATTCAAGTAAGAATAATTTAGAAAAAAGATGCATGTAAAACAAAAATAAATCCATCGTAATACACAGTATTTGATCTCAGTATAAATAACATGGAGAAGGTTTTTGGAAGAATGCGCCTGCTTTTGTCCATATCCTTAACACGGCTTTCATGACAGAGACCACAAATGGTCACATAATTAAAAAAATAATGATATTTGACAATATTTTTTTGATAATTTTTTAATATTATTTACGTGTTGTGATTGGTCCATGTTAGTGTTTATGATTATTATTATTATTATTAACTGTGGAGTAATTTTGGATCAATCACATAATGACACGTAGATGATGTTAAAATGTTATCAAAAAAATGTTATCAAAGCATCATTATTTATAATTAAATGAACAGTTCCAGTAAATAAATGGGTGTGATGATCATATTGAACTGGTATTAGAGAATAATATCAAGAACACATATTTCAAATTTGTACCAGCTTACATGGTAAGCCCAAACTAACCAAAGGTTTTTGGGATTAATTACTGCATGCAGCAATGACCAGAAATGTATACTTTACCAAATTTTGACTCATCCAAATTGGCCAGCAAGTTGCATATAGTGATGTTAAGTTTTTCAAGTTTATATCCATATATGTTTGCACGAATTTTAAGTTATTTAATCTTATAAAATTAATTTTTAAGGTAAAGTTTTCAAAAATTGATCTTTTTAATGGAAAGATTTTTAATACCTTTTTCGTAATACATATATATAAGATTAAATATTAATGGATAATTTAACGACTAATTTTATAAAGTTGAATTAGACTTAAAATATATTTCTTAATATAAGGTATTATAGACATGAGTTAGAGTTATCGTAATAAAATGTGTTGTTTCTTTGATTTATTGTTTTACCGGTTAACGAATTACTCATTAATGTCTAGTCCATAACGAGATGTATATGATTTTATTTGAGAATATATGTTGAAAGTTTTAGATTAACTAAATATAGTCATTTTCAATATATAAATGAATACAAATATCTTATAAACTACTTTTGTAAGATTGAGTTGTGTTGATAATATATTTTTTAGTGACCAAAATAATAAAGAACAAAAACTTAAATATACACTTATTATATTAGTTCAGACGTATTATTTGTAAAAGCAAAAATGATGAGATCACTTGACCCGTATTTATAAAAAATTTCAAGGACCCGTGACGTTCTCATAACCGTTAGATCTGGCTCTATCAAACGGTAAAGGAAGGACGATGTGACACTTCACATTCGACGTCAAACCTGACACTTCATAATTTTTTTGTCCCCCAACGATTTATATAAACAAATCTTTTTCATTTGTTGACTTAAGTACAAGCTCAAAGCTTGAGAGCTTGTCTATTGTATATATACCGACTAAATCACATCAAAATGATCGTCCAAGCTGGGATAAAACTGATTGGTACTGAGCAAATATAACTAAATATTTGATTAAGCTAAACAAGTTAGTAATCAAGTTTAACAAAATTAGATCGTAATTAAACCAATCCTAATCAGAAACCCGTGAAAAAACCTATAAATACAAGTTAAACATATGTTTATTAGAACTTTTGCGACATTTATTACAACATTAATTATTAAATCGTTTAGATATCAAATTAACCTAGTAATTGATAGCCTAAAACACACAAACAACAAGAGAAAAAATTGAAAAGTGAAAAAAATTACTTAAAGTGAACTCTCAATCCGGTATACTTTGAAACATAAAATAATTATCACAACTCAATATATTAATGAAATTTTTCCGTGAAATTTGACTGTGATGGATAGATTGGATAAACTTTAAATTACTGATTTTATTTTAAATTCACAAATACACTCACTAAAACAAGGATATTGATAGAAATAATAGAAAATTGCAGAAGAAAATTGAATTTACTTTTTAAATAATGTAGTGTGTAATTGGATTTAATTAAAAAGATTAAATTGAACTGGATTCAAAATAATATGATAAACATAACAGAGAAAAGGCACATATATTTCTGTCAGTTTAAAAAAAACTGAGCTAAGTACTTAATTATTTAAATTAAATTTTTGAATATTTGATGAAATAGAATTACTTATATTTTTTTGTTTAAAGTTTAAAATCCTGTAATCATAATTCTGTTTGGAGCATTGTAAATACTTAATTTTCATTTTGAAATTTCTTTTTATCAATTTTAGTGAAAATAGCAGACACACACTTATGTAAAGTCACAACAGTAGTTATTTTTATGAGCATTTAACAGTATTTCTTTTACCATAACGGTACACGGCAATTATTACTTTTTCCTTATATAATCTTCCTTTTTACAAAACTTAATATAATCTTTTAACATACAATTTCTTAAATTATAAGGAAACAACAATTAGGAAACATCTTCAAATAAAATGTTACAAATAATACGTCTGAACTAAAACTTCATATCAATAAATGAATTGAATTTCAGTTTCAAATTTGATATGTTTAAGTAATAAATAGGTATTGAGATAGTTTAATTCATTAACTTAAGAAGCTTGAGCTCCAAACATTCAATTAAAACTATTCCATTAGAACAATTAGCGGTAAGATTTCGTGGAGAAAAAGTATTTACCGATACAATATAAAACAAAAACAAAAGAAGAAAAAAGTAACATCGTTTACACACCTATGTATATTTAAGATGGATAGGGAATTTTTCAAGTGTCAATTTTAATGTAGAGAATTACAGTATTAGCAGATTAAAAGTTATTAAAATATATTATCTAATCACTTTTATTACTGTAATTTATATTTTAATAATTGAGATTTCATAAGCCGAAAACTTCACAACCGACATTACAAAGCTGCAGAAAAAACCGCCACTTCGGCTGACACTGGCTTACATTAATTATACTAAATTATTAGTTGACACATAGAAAATGCAAAAGGATGTTATCCAAAACAGTACAGTAAATGAGAAGGATAATTAAACATTTGACGTCTCAATCGCAGTGTGTCATAAAGACTTGGCCGATATCAATTCAACTGTATACTTAATGGAGTGGCCAACCTGTGTTACAAAGTCAAAAAACAAAAAATTCAGAAGAAAGGACAGTTTCTGAATGCTTCTGATTTTAAAAAGAAAGGTCCATTAAATAGGGTATTTTCTTTCCTACAACATGACAATATCATGTTAGTAAGCAATGAGTGAATTCAATCCCAAAAAAGGAAAAAATATATCATCAGAGCTGTAATGCCAAATTAGGCTGCAACTGAGAACCAGCCTCCACATTGGAACTACTAGGTGAATTTGTAGTTCCAATCCTTCCATTCAAGTCATTAGAAAGTGCAAAAGACTTCTGTTTAGTGGGAACTTCCAAACCCTGCCAAGATGATTTTCCAGCAATTCCTTGAGACCAACTTCGTGGCTCAAACCCAGATTCCCGGGCCAATAAATTACCGGATTCTAATTGACTTGATTTGCTCCCGTACTGTCCCAAAAGAGATGGATTATTATTTGTCTGCGCAATGCGGCTACTTATGGGATCCATCTGAGGAGCAACCCCAGCACTCGGTGACCCAGTTAGGTCAGCAAGTCTCACCATCTTCATTTGTGGTGAAAAATTAGAACCTAACCAATCATGTGAACCAAAACCATCAGGGTGCGGCATGGATTCCTGCTGAATCTTCACAGGAGTTATGGACTCAGATCCACCAGCAATGTTGATTGCCGGATTCAATTCTTTTTGATAATTATTTATAACCATGTCAACACTTTGCAAGCAGGATCTATTTGCAAGGGGAAGTGATCCAGATGGAGAAGAAAATCTACTTTTACAATCCTCTACTACGGGAGGGTCTGAAGTTCTACCCTCGTCACAAACTGGGAAGTGCTGCTTCTGTGGCTCGTCATCTTCACTTACCCATCCAGGACCAAATTCATGTCCTGTAGGCAAAACACTGCTGATTTTACTTGAAGCAATCTTCCAAACAACAGGACCAAGATCTGCAGCGAAATGGGCTAGACTTCTTGCATAACTATGCTTCATGTGTATACCTACCTGATTTGTACAAAAAGAGGCGAACGTGAATTTTGTGGCAAAATAAAAACCTTTTGAATTTGACTGAGCATGACATATTGACAAGATAAAGACAATAAAAGACTTTTTAAGTATCATTATTAAGAAAAGAGGAAAGAGTAAAAAAGAAAAAAGAAACACAGAAGTCAGTACAGCAAGAAGTTGTTTGACTTCATCTTCAACTGTGGTCAACAGCGGTCCTTCATTTCCTGAAGTCACTGGTAATTTGTAAGAATCGCGCCTGGTCTCATCAACTGCAAACTGCTTCTTTCCATATCTTAACACAGCTTTTACAACAGAAGCTGCAAACAAAGACATAATTAATTGAATAATTCCAATTAAATGATGGATGCATTTGTTTGCCCCTACTTTAATACAGAAGTTATGGAACAATGGGAAAGTGTAGATATAGGCAGTGACCTGGAAATTCATTCTCCCATTCAGACCAACCAGTATACCCTCCACTGTTAAAAGTGTTGTTGTAGGGCCTAGCAATTGAATCTGTAGGCTGAAATTTGCTTGGTCCTTTCCTGAGATTATAACCGTTGGAGCCACTAGCAATATCCCCGCCAGAAGCAAGAGTTGCATCAGAAGAAGATTCAGGTCCAACGCGCTCAGCAGGAGGCATACCTAGTGACTTTCTTGAGGGCTTGCCTGGTGGCCTTCCTCTCTGCACAACTTTGGGCTGCGGTTCACTATCATCACTATCTTGTCTAAGATTCTCAAAGTCCTTCCTTGCGATATCTTGCATGGCTCGGGCCTAAGAAAAAGTAAAATATTTACCTTTAACAGACACTAAACAAATACTACAAAGGGGTGGAAACAACTTAGTTTTGGTTAAAAATATCACCAAACCTGTCGATGGTAAATGGTATCTGATGAATTATATTGCATTGCATTAGAGCAAATCAAGAACACATCTTTCTGCAAGAATGAAGCAACAGTATTTCAAAATTGTATCAGACTAACAAGAAATATTCTTCTCAATGATCAAAATAGTACATGGAACCCAAACCATCCACTCAAAAACCCACCCAAACTAACACAACAGTGAGTTGCATAATTAGTGAAGATATGCTACAATTGACCAGAAATTTAAAGTTTACCCAAATCAGACACATCAGTGAATATAAAACAGGGCAGCATGTCAAGAAACAGTCATCGGTCATATGAATGCATGGGTTTAATAGATAACAAGCAATCACAGACCAAGAATTACATACTGCAGTGCACATGACATATCAGGAATAATCGTCCTTAATAAAACTTGAGCATGCCAACGATGTAACAAAGTATCAGTGTCATATATGTTGGTTTCCCACAAGAAACTTTTTAAAATCTTACATTCAGCACTAGTTTCAAAAACTCTTAATAGTCACATTAAGCTTCTACATAACTGTCTAGAAAGCATCAACCATAATNGACTAAATCACATCAAAATGATCGTCCAAGCTGGGATAAAACTGATTGGTACTGAGCAAATATAACTAAATATTTGATTAAGCTAAACAAGTTAGTAATCAAGTTTAACAAAATTAGATCGTAATTAAACCAATCCTAATCAGAAACCCGTGAAAAAACCTATAAATACAAGTTAAACATATGTTTATTAGAACTTTTGCGACATTTATTACAACATTAATTATTAAATCGTTTAGATATCAAATTAACCTAGTAATTGATAGCCTAAAACACACAAACAACAAGAGAAAAAATTGAAAAGTGAAAAAAATTACTTAAAGTGAACTCTCAATCCGGTATACTTTGAAACATAAAATAATTATCACAACTCAATATATTAATGAAAATTTTCCGTGAAATTTGACTGTGATGGATAGATTGGATAAACTTTAAATTACTGATTTTATTTTAAATTCACAAATACACTCACTAAAACAAGGATATTGATAGAAATAATAGAAAATTGCAGAAGAAAATTGAATTTACTTTTTAAATAATGTAGTGTGTAATTGGATTTAATTAAAAAGATTAAATTGAACTGGATTCAAAATAATATGATAAACATAACAGAGAAAAGGCACATATATTTCTGTCAGTTTAAAAAAAACTGAGCTAAGTACTTAATTATTTAAATTAAATTTTTGAATATTTGATGAAATAGAATTACTTATATTTTTTTGTTTAAAGTTTAAAATCCTGTAATCATAATTCTGTTTGGAGCATTGTAAATACTTAATTTTCATTTTGAAATTTCTTTTTATCAATTTTAGTGAAAATAGCAGACACACACTTATGTAAAGTCACAACAGTAGTTATTTTTATGAGCATTTAACAGTATTTCTTTTACCATAACGGTACACGGCAATTATTACTTTTTCCTTATATAATCTTCCTTTTTACAAAACTTAATATAATCTTTTAACATACAATTTCTTAAATTATAAGGAAACAACAATTAGGAAACATCTTCAAATAAAATGTTACAAATAATACGTCTGAACTAAAACTTCATATCAATAAATGAATTGAATTTCAGTTTCAAATTTGATATGTTTAAGTAATAAATAGGTATTGAGATAGTTTAATTCATTAACTTAAGAAGCTTGAGCTCCAAACATTCAATTAAAACTATTCCATTAGAACAATTAGCGGTAAGATTTCGTGGAGAAAAAGTATTTACCGATACAATATAAAACAAAAACAAAAGAAGAAAAAAGTAACATCGTTTACACACCTATGTATATTTAAGATGGATAGGGAATTTTTCAAGTGTCAATTTTAATGTAGAGAATTACAGTATTAGCAGATTAAAAGTTATTAAAATATATTATCTAATCACTTTTATTACTGTAATTTATATTTTAATAATTGAGATTTCATAAGCCGAAAACTTCACAACCGACATTACAAAGCTGCAGAAAAAACCGCCACTTCGGCTGACACTGGCTTACATTAATTATACTAAATTATTAGTTGACACATAGAAAATGCAAAAGGATGTTATCCAAAACAGTACAGTAAATGAGAAGGATAATTAAACATTTGACGTCTCAATCGCAGTGTGTCATAAAGACTTGGCCGATATCAATTCAACTGTATACTTAATGGAGTGGCCAACCTGTGTTACAAAGTCAAAAAACAAAAAATTCAGAAGAAAGGACAGTTTCTGAATGCTTCTGATTTTAAAAAGAAAGGTCCATTAAATAGGGTATTTTCTTTCCTACAACATGACAATATCATGTTAGTAAGCAATGAGTGAATTCAATCCCAAAAAAGGAAAAAATATATCATCAGAGCTGTAATGCCAAATTAGGCTGCAACTGAGAACCAGCCTCCACATTGGAACTACTAGGTGAATTTGTAGTTCCAATCCTTCCATTCAAGTCATTAGAAAGTGCAAAAGACTTCTGTTTAGTGGGAACTTCCAAACCCTGCCAAGATGATTTTCCAGCAATTCCTTGAGACCAACTTCGTGGCTCAAACCCAGATTCCCGGGCCAATAAATTACCGGATTCTAATTGACTTGATTTGCTCCCGTACTGTCCCAAAAGAGATGGATTATTATTTGTCTGCGCAATGCGGCTACTTATGGGATCCATCTGAGGAGCAACCCCAGCACTCGGTGACCCAGTTAGGTCAGCAAGTCTCACCATCTTCATTTGTGGTGAAAAATTAGAACCTAACCAATCATGTGAACCAAAACCATCAGGGTGCGGCATGGATTCCTGCTGAATCTTCACAGGAGTTATGGACTCAGATCCACCAGCAATGTTGATTGCCGGATTCAATTCTTTTTGATAATTATTTATAACCATGTCAACACTTTGCAAGCAGGATCTATTTGCAAGGGGAAGTGATCCAGATGGAGAAGAAAATCTACTTTTACAATCCTCTACTACGGGAGGGTCTGAAGTTCTACCCTCGTCACAAACTGGGAAGTGCTGCTTCTGTGGCTCGTCATCTTCACTTACCCATCCAGGACCAAATTCATGTCCTGTAGGCAAAACACTGCTGATTTTACTTGAAGCAATCTTCCAAACAACAGGACCAAGATCTGCAGCGAAATGGGCTAGACTTCTTGCATAACTATGCTTCATGTGTATACCTACCTGATTTGTACAAAAAGAGGCGAACGTGAATTTTGTGGCTAAATAAAAACCTTTTGAATTTGACTGAGCATGACATATTGACAAGATAGAGACAATAAAAGACTTTTTAAGTATCATTATTAAGAAAAGAGGAAAGAGTAAAAAAGAAAAAAGAAACACAGAAGTCCGTACAGCAAGAAGTTGTTTGACTTCATCTTCAACTGTGGTCAACAGCGGTCCTTCATTTCCTGAAGTCACTGGTAATTTGTAAGAATCGCGCCTGGTCTCATCAACTGCAAACTGCTTCTTTCCATATCTTAACACAGCTTTTACAACAGAAGCTGCAAACAAAGACATAATTAATTGAATAATTCCAATTAAATGATGGATGCATTTGTTTGCCCCTACTTTAATACAGAAGTTATGGAACAATGGGAAAGTGTAGATATAGGCAGTGACCTGGAAATTCATTCTCCCATTCAGACCAACCAGTATACCCTCCACTGTTAAAAGTGTTGTTGTAGGGCCTAGCAATTGAATCTGTAGGCTGAAATTTGCTTGGTCCTTTCCTGAGATTATAACCGTTGGAGCCACTAGCAATATCCCCGCCAGAAGCAAGAGTTGCATCAGAAGAAGATTCAGGTCCAACGCGCTCAGCAGGAGGCATACCTAGTGACTTTCTTGAGGGCTTGCCTGGTGGCCTTCCTCTCTGCACAACTTTGGGCTGCGGTTCACTATCATCACTATCTTGTCTAAGATTCTCAAAGTCCTTCCTTGCGATATCTTGCATGGCTCGGGCCTAAGAAAAAGTAAAATATTTACCTTTAACAGACACTAAACAAATACTACAAAGGGGTGGAAACAACTTAGTTTTGGTTAAAAATATCACCAAACCTGTCGATGGTAAATGGTATCTGATGAATTATATTGCATTGCATTAGAGCAAATCAAGAACACATCTTTCTGCAAGAATGAAGCAACAGTATTTCAAAATTGTATCAGACTAACAAGAAATATTCTTCTCAATGATCAAAATAGTACATGGAACCCAAACCATCCACTCAATAACCCACCCAAACTAACACAACAGTGAGTTGCATAATTAGTGAAGATATGCTACAATTGACCAGAAATTTAAAGTTTACCCAAATCAGACACATCAGTGAATATAAAACAGGGCAGCATGTCAAGAAACAGTCATCGGTCATATGAATGCATGGGTTTAATAGATAACAAGCAATCACAGACCAAGAATTACATACTGCAGTGCACATGACATATCAGGAATAATCGTCCTTAATAAAACTTGAGCATGCCAACGATGTAACAAAGTATCAGTGTCATATATGTTGGTTTCCCACAAGAAACTTTTTTAAATCTTACATTCAGCACTAGTTTCAAAAACTCTTAATAGTCACATTAAGCTTCTACATAACTGTCTAGAAAGCATCAACCATAATTAAGAAGAATTAGTCTATAGTTACATTCCAGGTGTCCTGTCATGGTAATCAAATATATAAATAAATAAGTAATGATTTTTGGGAAGAACAACAAAAAAGGAGAGGTAGATACGGATGTAGTAGCATTAGTTACTTAGCAAGAATCAAGAAATCAGCACTGTATGCAACATTATCTGAAAGTTATGCTTCTTTCCTTCCAAGGATTTTTTTTTGTTCATAGATAAACACTACCAGAAAAAAACGAAAGTCATATAATAGAATGCCATGGGACTTCTGACCCAGAAGTAAATCACATAGAATCTGTCCAGTAAGAAAGATAGCAGAGCTTTTGAGAGTTGCTACAGAAAATAGTAGCACCAACCTCAAATTGTTCCAAGTCGGTATAAAGTCCCCCATCCAATTTCTTTCTCACAGTTCCAAAATCCATCGGGTGCTTAATGATGTCATGATAATCAGGAAGCTGCAGCAACAAGGTTAAGGTGCTGAGCATT